CAGAGCATCACTTGCCCCAGAGTCCCTATCTATACCTTGTGGCTAATAGCCACTGATGGACCTCTGCTCCATATGCTTATCTAATTCCCTCTTGAAGCTGTCCATGCTTGTAGCTGCCACCACTTCCTGTGGCAGTGAATTCCATGTGTTAATCACTCTTTGGGTGAAGAAGTACTTCCTTTCATCCATTTTAACCCGACTGCTCAGCAGTTTCATGGAGTGCCCACGAGTTTTTGTATTGTGAGAAAGGGAGAAAAGTACCTTTTTCTCTACCAGCTCTTTCCGCAATGTAGGAGCGACCACAGCGAACGCATGTGAACAGGCAGTGGCTGATTTTACCTGTTTGCAGGGTAGCACCTTCAGAAGGCTTTGCTCGAGTGAGCGGAGCTGTCGCAGTGGAACACAGTAGGAAAGTAGCCAGATTGGCCTGTGGTGTTCTGTACCAACCATAGTTTCTGACTTGTCTTCAAGGGCAAACCCACACAGAGTGCATTGTAGTAGTCTATTCTCAAAGCAAGGCTGTAGCCAGCAGGGAGGGGCCTCAAGGGGCTTTGCCCCTTTCAAATTTGCCCTGCCTCTCCTCCCTTTCCAGAGGTCCCCCCTCTCCCCTTCCCGATCCCTACCGGGAGACTGGGAAATGGAGAGATGAGCCTGCCGGCAGCCCTTCTCCCCTGCACCCTCGCTGCACACCTCATGGTTGTCGGAGAGGCATGGGGGGAGGGGAAGGTCCTGCTTCCATAGCCATCTTCTGCTGCAGAAGCAGGAAGACTACCAGCGAGCCTCTGCCTCTCCGACAGTCAGAGAGGCGCGTGGGGGGAGGTAAATAGCTGCCTGCGAGTGGAGAACTCGAGGTAGGGAAAAGTCACCTTCCTCTATCCCTGGAGGCTGAAAAAGTTTAACTTATTTATTCAATTTATTTATTACTTTAATTTTATTTGTGGGCTCCTGGTGCCCCCCCCTGAAAAAAATCCTGGCTACGGGCCTGTCCCAAAGTAACCACAGCACTGGATTCATGAGGCCAGGTCAGTTGAGTCAAGGTAGGAGGCCATCTTCCAGGGGTAAGCGGAGTTGGGTAGAATGCCTTTTTGTGTGTTTGGCTTTGTCAGCTTGCTACTCCAGCAAAAAAGCTGGATCAGATATCACCCCAAAGTGCTTTACTGGGGCAGCTGGACCCCACCATATCCTTCAGGCCCTCAGCCTTCCCAACTAACTCACATCTTATCAGCATTCAGTGTCAGCTTGTTAATCCATAGCCATTTAACTATGGCAGCCACAGATTGGTCCTGAGTCTCCACCACAGGGCCCCCAACCTTTTTGAGCCAGCAGGCACCTTTGGAATTGTGAGATGGGGTGGTGGCTGCAACCGTAAAATGGTGCCAATGCAAAACATTAGAAGAAGAGATTGGATTTATACCCTGCCCTTCATTCGGAGTCTCAGAGCGGATTACAAACTCCTTTCCCTTCCCCTCCCCACCCCACGACACCCTGTGAGGTAGGTGAGGCTGAGAGAGCTCTTTCAAGAACTGCCCTTTCAAGGAGAGCTCTTGTCAGAACTATGGCTTGCCCAAGGTCACACCAGCAGCTGCAAGCGGAGGAGTGGGGAATCAAACCCGGTTCTCCCAGATTAGAGCCTGAGTCCGCACACTTAACCACTGCACGAAACTGGCTCTTAGACAGTGAGCTTATGCATAACTCTCAAAGTAAGTCTTCAACATTTCAGGCAGAATCTGTTTAATGAGATGCCTTATCCTGTTTAAAAACATTTTTGTTGTGTACGCACAGCTCTCCTTCAGTACCACAGTGAAGATCCTTGTGTTGTGGTGGCAGCTGCTGTCAAAGCAATTTGGAAAAAAAATCTGTTTCGTCAATCAGATTTGCAATGGCCAATAGGAAGCCCTGCTGGGCAAAAGCTGCACCTGGCCCCACCCACTTCCTAAAAACATTTGGCGGATACCAGGAAAGGTGTTGGTGGGCACCATGGCACCCACGGTCGCCACGCTGGGGACCCCCACCCCATCATATCACCAGGCAATTTGGATAAAGAAATACAGAGTGAGGTGTCATCAGTATATTGTAACATAGGCCCATTATGCATGTACATCTTACTGCAGATTTTCAGAGCAGTAAAGCCTTTAACTTTGGATTCTGCGCCCCCCTCACACATCATTCTTTTCCCTCCAGTGTATTTATTCTGCAGCTACAATCCCCTCCCCTTTTCCAAATCTGGATGGAATGTCACTTGTGATATGTGGGGTGGTATCCAAAGTTTTTTTTTTTAA